CCCCCCCCCCCCCCCCCCCCCCCCCCCCCCCCCCCCCCCCCCCCCCCTCCGGGAGTCAACACCGACACCACACTGCTGGAGACCCAGGACGTATTGCTGGACCCACTGGAGGGAAGGGAGGCACGGGAGAACCAGAACCAGGACTGAGAGGGGCAGACTGTCAGACCCTGCTGCAGTAAAATGAGAGGATTTCTAAAGGGACTCCGGAGCTCAGAAACACTACCTCTTTAGTCCACAGGGACGACAAAGTCAACACATAATTTAAGTTGCTGGTAGTGACTTTAAGTACAAATCTGAGGTACTTGTGACAGAGTATTTTCTCATTTTGGTATTAGTACTTATACTTAAGTAAATGAGCTGAATACTTCCTCCACCACTGCCTTCCAACACCTTTCTCAGTGATTCAGCAATTAAGCGTATTTCCTATATGTCCATTGATCTCTTTAAACTTACACTATGTCAGTAACAGGAAAGTAAACGGAGCCATGATGAAAATGACATATGGAGGAGGATGAAAGGGAGGGGGAGAGAGGGAGACAGAGGGAGATTTGTGGCCTAAAGGAATTCCTTTTTTTAAAACTCAGCCGAGAAAAGCAGACAGTTAAACACAAGTGTCCAGCAGATTTCTGAGCAGTCTCAACAGGCCAGTGAAAACACACAGACCTCAACTCATTCAAGGTAACACCATCACATGCTGGCCTTCATCGGGGTCGCTGTGGCTCACAAACAAGACGAAGGAATGTCTGTTATCAGAGTAGTGATGCAGCTCAAAGCAGGAGAAACCAAATCCACCAGTTAATGCAGATTAAATAATCACATTAAGAAAAACACCGTTACTGCAGCGTGGAGCTGAAGACTCACACTGACGGGAGCGGAGATGTTTGGGTTAATCACAGCCTCCGACAGATGAAGGAAGGTCGTCTGTCTGATCGGGATGTTAATCAGCCTCCGAGCTCGAGTCTGAAGCTGTATATTAATCTGTCATAACCAGTTTCTGTCGTGTGAAAAGTGCCGTGTGAAAGAGCCAATGAAACCCAGCAGCAATCACTTAGCAGCCATCGATTTAAATCATCCATGATCTCTTATACCGTAAGTCAGAAGACGTGCAGAATTAAATACAAATTTAAATTTTTAGACCAGGAAACGTAGCATCAAGGTAGCAAGAGATATGCGGAGTGGCAGCACATGTATGATCGTCCCCGTGTAACCAGATCACTCCGTCTTCAACGCTCATGTGATCGAAACTCGCTTTAAGGACAACAGAGATTTTAGATAAGTAAAACTAGTTTCATGGAGCAGACTTTTACTTCCCCCCCCAACAGTCTTATCTGTTAAACACAAACTGAAACGTTTTGCAGATTATGGCTTAATTTTAAAGCTATTTGATGTAAAGCAAGCATCGCATTAGAAAAGCTGTTTGGAAATGGCAAAATTGTATAAAACTTCCATAATTGTGTAAAAAAAGTTTTTACGCTCGCAAAACGGGCAATATTGAGGTCAGCAATAATTATCGTGTTCATGTTCAAATATTAAACAATAAGTCAATTATGTAATTTTTGTAAGAAACCAATAATCTGATGTAGTGGATATTTACAACAAATAAATAAATAAATATATACACATACATATACATATATACATATATACATACACGTACACACACACACACACACACACACATTTATTTATTTATTCTCTTTAGACATCTTGAAACATGGCCAATACTAGCTGACATGAGAAAACTGTTAAAACTAATTCCTGAAGATGGAAACATGACTTTGTGTTTCCAAAAAACACAAAGCTTAGAAAGTGGAATCCTTTTTATACATCAGTCATCAGCCTACAAGCCGAATATATTTAAAGTGTATCATATTTTAACGGTTCAGACAAACATAATAAAATCTTTGAGTAGAATGTCTGCTGTCTGTTTTCTCCCTTTGTCTCACACTCAAACACACACAAATGCATTTAAAGACACAAACGGAGACGCACACTAACACACACGGTGAGCCTGCAGCCAGAACTTGGCCTCTTTAAGCCCGTTGTGTTTTGGCCAACATGAGCTCGACAAGTGGATGAGTGTAAAGGGTCCGCTGCTTGTTTTGTTTGAACTCGAGTTGTCATCACATATGAAGTCGAAACAACAGACCCGGGTGATAATGCATCCGGGTGTTGCTGTGATAATTACAGCAACACGTGCAAAATAACTAGAATTACTGCCTGTCTGTTTCAGTTTACATCCAACATGTCATCACTTCATCTTCTCCTATTAATTTGACATTTGTGTTAAATTGTCATAATTAGCGTATGAATCCCTGAGTTATGGACAAAAATGTGTTTTGTAAGATCACAGTGAGCTTTTACCATCAAATTCTAATATCGGGTCATCCTGGATTCCAGGTGGACGTTTGTGCCAAAAAATTTTAATTTCCTCGAGGCGTTCCTGAGATTTCACGTTCACGAGCATGGACCGGACGGACAACCTGAAAACCCGACGCCTCAGGCCACAGTTGTCACCGGCGGAGAGGCATTAAGAGAATCAGATCAAAAGGATTCACGCTGCATGGAAACTGCATAATTATGAATGCCACTGCTCTCCTTGGCAAGACCCGCCCTACATAACTGGTGGGGACAAAGACGATTGGTTGAGATTAGGCATTAATCTTGAGTAGTTAAGGTCAGGACGGTCCTATTGGCCAGGAGACCTGAACAAATCAGGAAACCAGTACATCGAGCATGGACGCCTGGTTAATCGTAGCACTTGAATGCTGCACAGGGCGGGTCTGGCCAATAACAGCAGTGGGATTCATAATTAAGCATGTAAACTAATCAACGATCATCCAGAGCCAGTCGGTTTTGTCTCAGGAACTCACTCAGGACGACGATGAAGCTCTGATTGTCCAGCAGGAGCCACAGTCCGAAGCCCATGATGACGGCCCCGCACAGCTGGAGGACACACACACACACACACACACACACACACACACACACACACACACA